CAACAGTACAGGGTTGTCCGAGACCTGTTTTCTAGCCGTGGTACTTCTATGAAGAATTTCGTTGATTAACGGTCCTACTTAAGTGCCTGAAAAATGAAAACGCGTATGTTCAAAAGAGGAGGTGCGTGGCTTGTAGGGAACATCATGGCGATATGTGGAATGGCAGTGCAACCCGTCCTCTCCCGAAGGTCCTCAGAATCCCCTTCTCACAACCTTGCGCTGCCACCCTCGACAAACTGCTCTTTCTAACAAATTTTAACAAAATTTTGCTGTCGAGGGGGAGGGGAAGGTAAGCACTTTCTATAGACTCAGTAATACGTAGGAGTGATGGCAAAGTGCCAGGTAAACTTTGCTGAGCGGAGGGTTGACACTTGCGATCGACCATCAGGAATAGTTTGGAGGACCTAAACTAGGCGGTGGAGCATAGCAAATGGGAGGGATCAGAACCTGAAAAAAAATTTCTCACACCAGATACGCTTCTCTCCCCAGCGGCGGAATACGATTCCCCGAGGAATGAACACAACAATAATGTGTTTTGGTAATTAGTCATCGTCAATGGTTTAAGCCTGAAGTGGACCTTTTGTTTTGGTTTGCTTGGCTAATGTAAATCAGTCCGCAAATAATTGGACGTATGTAGTTCATGTCGTCGTAGTCAGTCGGGGTGGTGTCAGGAGGGGTGGGCGAGCCCGCCTCCGGCTCTCTTTTCCACAACTGTCGGTCAATGACCGACCTGAAAAAACCAGCAGGAGTAGGAACCAGTGGCTATTCCAAGATTCCTGAAGCCCCCCCCCCATACTAATTACGGCGATATCAGCTGTGTGTTTGCTGCAACAATTGAACCTAAGCGCACACACGTGTTAACTACCGCCATACCACTTTTCCGTTGAATAAAATTTTCCTTTTTGGAATTGAGTCGAGTCATTTAGAATACAGTCTATCGACTGAACAACGTACGAGCCATGCAGCCGATGGCTGCGCTAAATCATACGCGAAAGAGTCTTTTGAAATTTCAAGAGAAACTTGGAATAGAACCAGTAAGTGTTTTGTTTTTTCAAGTTAAATTGGGTGTCTTAGAGCTTGTCTCTTTAGGTTAACCTTGAAGAAACGCGATGGAATTTTTGGGGAGCCGTCTTCTACTGTATGACTGTCTATACTACGATTGGTAAGGATGAGATCAAGAAGTCTGTAGTGCCTTATCTACGTGGTTTCGAAGTACGAGGGGGGGGCCAAAAAAGACTTTTTTCTTCCTCGATTTTCGAGGCGCTATAAGTTACACTTTAGTAAATTTTTATCGGACATTTCTACCGCCATATTGAAGAGCATATTAAATACTATCAACTGATACCATCACCCCCGCACACCTTCTGGAGGAGCGCCATTCTGCACGCTGACCGCGTCAGTGGGTGCGTGAGTTCAGCGAGATCGTTGATTTCTCCGCCACTGTAGACCACCCTATTGAACTCCGCCCGAACCAGGTAATTGAGGGGGTTTAGGTCAGGTTACCTGCTTAGATATTCCACCTTATTCAGGTACTCAACGCCCTTCCATTCCAAGTAGGCAAGAGTTTTCCCAACGCCCTTTGATTCCATGTGGTGTCACCCAATCCTGTAGCAGTACAAAGTTTCCAAGAAGGTACGGGCGACGACATGTGGAGAGGATATTCTTCTCGAGTTGCTCGATGTAACCGCCAGCGCTCACACCTTCCAGTGCGGCCCCACAGAAGAAAATAACGGTCTCTCCATTCCAGGTAAACTCCCGTACCCCATCCATCCAACTGATGCGGTGAAGATGATGTCCTAGACCGTGGCGACGTTGTCGGAGCTGCTCGATGTTGGAGGTCATCCAGATCGAGAGTACTGGTCTCCAGGTAGCTATCCATGGGTGACTCCATACTAGAGTTTCGCAGCTGTTTGGAGGGTGACAAACCCCAAAATGAAAAAATTCCGACAGGCCTTACCCAATGCAGGTTTGCGGCTGGAGATGACTTCATATTTTGGTGTACATGAAGGCGATGGGCGAGAGCCAGCTCCTGCTTATAGAGGAACATCTTGGGTATCTTTCGCCCTGGTACCCGTATCCACGTCTTCTCTCTGGGCAGCGAAAACTTTGCTGATATGTGACTCGGTCGAAATGTCTTTTTTTTTGGCCCACCCCCTGTAGTTTATAGCAGTCAGTGATACCGCCCACTAGAAGTGGTAAATGTAGTCCGTCACCGAAATGGAGAGGGTGTGGTTGCATACTTTCATTTGAAAGTAGAGGCGACAGCCCATATTGAGGATCGTCTCAGTATCACAAGGAATTCGGAATATCTCACCCAGGAGTCCTGACCATGTCAAAAGCACCAGATCATGATTATCTACCTCACAATTGGGGAATAGGGAGGGAACTACGCCCTGGTTCCTGGAAACGATAAGCCGAACCACGTGGAGTGGATTGGGCCGGAGCGGCATTTTTCTACCAATGATACCATCGTGAACCCGCTGCAACTGCTTTCACTGAGCTCTAAGCCTGCTTCCTTGCACACCCTATCGCTTGCAGTGATCACGGCTCTTTATAGCGCGCCTGAAACAGGAAAATAACAATAATAAAAAAAACTTGCCAAAAACACTTTCCTGCCACGCGTTGTATTTTCGCCTCGTTTTCTTCTCACAACGCCATTTTATTGAAATCCACATAGTTGGGTAATTGAACAATAGCTCACAACTACCACCACAAATCGACCCGAAAATAAATCTTTGTCGCGAATGTAGCAATCAGGCGCTTACAGTTCGCTTTGGGCGCCTGACTCATAATCCCAAAGCCGGGATATCCCTTTTTCCTATCGCTAACTACTCCCACCAAAAGGCGTTGATGAGTGATAGAATCATCTGGAACTGGTCGATAATTTGTTGGAGTTTTCGCGTTGTCTTTTCTTTACCATCGCGTCTTCTTTCAGGACGTCAATTTCAACTTGGATTTTCGTGCCAACACCAGGTCCGCAGTCTAGTGCTGAGTGATAGTCTGATTTCCGTAATGGAAACAACGGCTTTGATAGTTTGAACAGAGTGTTCCTCTTGTCACCACCACTCATGACAACGATAGCATCCATTGCTCTATTCTGCTGCCTCTGGCCCTTCCTCCTGCGCGTACAGAAGAACATGAATTGCTGTAGTGCTCTCCTAAAGTACTGCAAGAAAGCGCATCGCATATGTATATCTTTCAACAAGGCGGGAAATCGGTCCTCCGAACTGTTAAGGCTGGCACGGTTCCTCTCGCTCCATCAAGTGAATACTGTTCTCCAGATGGAATACCTCCATTTCTAACTGCGCTGGCATTTCTTGGAGTTTTCCAAAGTTCTCACTGACTTCCATTTCGTTTTTCCTTGAAGTTTTTCTGAAGTTTTAAAAGCTCTCGACACCCTCAATTTCGACTTCTTCCATGTGTTCTGCGTTAACCTCAATCTTCTGGAATTCCTAATGCCTGTCTGCATCAGCCTGCACATCGAATGTAGATGGCGATCGACCCTGGAGATTCTCCTCGATGGATTCATGGTTTTCAGGATTGTCTCTTTCAGAGACTTCTCTTGTGACCGCTCTTCAGCAAAATGTGTGAGCGTAATTCACGAAGAGAGCGCAGTAGATCTTTGGAGGACTTCAGCTGGTCACTGATGGTGGTATCGACTACGTCGAGGTGTACCGGCAGAGGGTGTACACCTTGACGTAGTCAATACCACCACTAGTATCCACCAGTTAACGCTATGAATAATGTTGCGGCTGGGTCATCATGGCATCCAACGCTTCTTGCGATATCCTGTTTGTTGCAATTAGTAGTGGTGGTATCCCATGAACCGTCCGTAATATGAGTTGTAGTAGAACGAATTCCATCTCGCAATTTTCTGTTTTCGCTTCTCACACTTGAACGTCCTTTTGGCGCTCAATCCAGTCATCTGTGGGTTCACCAAGAGGAGAGGCATTTCTATGAAGCTTATCAAGTAAATGAGTACAATACATTACATCACGAGCTGTTTCTACAATCCTTATCATTGAGATTTTTGGAGAGAGTAATTGATTTTTCCAATCTTTTCAACTCTCTCGTCGTATCTTGCAGCTCATCACGAAATGATCGAGGTTCGTTGCGGAGATTTCTAATTTTTGCGTCCATATCGTCGCACTACTATGTGGGCTATTTGGAATCTCGGGCGCAGGTTATACGAGGATTGTCCTCGAGCGATAGCGTTCTGGCAGTCTTTTTTGCCCTGCTTCGTCAGTTGGGGCTCCAGCTCTGTGGTCCGAAGCCGTCCTCGATGCGCCATAAAAACTTCCCTGCCACGCGTTGTATTTTCGTGTGGTACTCTTCTCACTGCGCCACTTTATTGGAATCCTCAAACTTGGATAATCAAACAATAGCTAACAACTACCACCAAAAATCGGCCAGGCAATAACAGAAATAAATCCACCACAGATGCGAATGAAATATGAAGATTGAAATAAGAGCACGCAGGGAGTGAAGAGTGAATTGAGTGCGGAAAGGCAGCCATGTTACATCCTTTTTATGAAAGCGTCTACGGCTGGCTCGTTCCTTGCACTTTCTTGCACTGCTTGAGAATAGCGCAGGTGTCGCAACCAGGCGTTTACAGTTCGCTTTGGGCCATGACTCATAGTCGCTCGAATATCGCTTTTTCCGGCATCAGACTTGCCGCGCTTGAACGCGCGTTGATGGTCGCGCTTGAATACGCTACAATTACAAGCGCGCTCCAGTCGTCAGACCTCAGCTTCCCTTTATTTTCTTCCTTCCCGGTATTCAACCCCTTTTTCACTGTTTCTCATTTCTACCTGATCCTTAGCTCTTTCATTTCGACATTGGATTAGTTTTCAACGTTTTTGACGACGTTTTGAGTTTTGATGAGATTTTGAAACGGTATATAAAATCATTATCACAGTGTCCTGTATCAGAAACTACATTGAAAATTCAATGTCGAAGTGAAAAAGAGGAGCTAAGAATCAGGTAGAAATGAGAAACAGTGAAAAAGGGGTTGAATACCGGAAGAAAGAACATAAGGGGAAGCTGTGTCTGGTACAACTGGAGCGCGGTTGTAATTGTAGCGTGTTCAAGCGCGACAAGTCTGAACGCTGTCGACTGCGAAACCGGTCATCAGTGATTGATTCCCCCCTTCCTCCGATGACCGAATAGTACTCGTTAGCTGCATTGAGAATTTTTCAGCGAGATGTGCCTTGCATCGGATGAGTCAGGTCACTCAAATACTGGAATATTCGGGTATTAGGCCCAGATTATGCTACCATATTACATAAGCTGGGCAGGAGGTGTGGTGGCAAGTGTCGCGCCACCACTCGCGCGGTCCTGGGTTCAATCCCCGGGTCGACTCCCGCCCAGGCCAACCAAGCCTTCTATCCTCCGGGAACGGTAAATTGGTACCAGATTCGTCTGGGAGGATAAAACACTGACTTGTACATCGGCTGGCCACCGCAAGTCATTGTATAGGCCACATCGCATTCAATAAGCCACTACGATTCTGAATGGAAGTAGAATGCGTGCCGCATCCCACAAAGGGATTGATCAACGGCGAAGACTTTATCCTTGTCCTCTGTCCTTATTATATAAGCCGCCCCTGAAAATTCTGTAACCACTTTATGAGCTTACCATATTCAGGTTACGGCAACATAGTTCCTGCGACGACACCAGGCCGTGTACTAACTATACTTTATGCGTTCATTGGGATTCCATTCGCTGTTTTGACGCTGTTCGCCCTAGGGGCTATATTCGCTCGAATTTGTAAACTGCTTTGGAAACTCGTATTGAAATCGACGTCGATGGTCCATAAGGATTTGGGAAAAAAGGCAAGTGTTTTGTTCTTTTACCCTTATGGCAGTTAACTGAGCTTTGTACCACCAGTCTATGTTTACATGGGGTTTGTTTTTCTCGAAGCAATTTTGATTCTCTTTGAACTATTGATTATTCGGATCAGTCGCAACGCGTCTGCTCGCGTAATATCTAGCTAGCTGGGAAGGAGCTTTGAATACAACTTCATTGTGATTTTATTGAAATATTTCAGGTGAACGCTGCTGTAGGATTCGATGAGGGCGCCCAAGTTAGTCAACCTTTGACTATGTTTATTTTACTTACTTTATTTTCCATATTGCTTGCTTCATTTGTAGTAGATTACCTTTCAATTCCATGAACACTCTCCAGATGTCGCAGTCTTCTTCTTCACTCGATGACGAGGACCTTCTATCTTTTCCGATTTCCTTTCTTGTCTTCTTGACTATACTTTGGGTACTCTTTTGTGCCTGGATATTTACACTTTTTGAAGACTGGAGTTACGGTAAGGCGTCATAGCGTTGCAAGACCCACGCTTTTCCTCAAATAATCCGAAAACAGGTTTATCGTTGTACTTCACGCTTATATCGTTCACAACAATTGGCTTCGGAGACGTTTTACCCTCCGAATATGACTACATAATACTTGTTGGCTTCCTGCTGCTTATTGGCCTCTCGTTAGTCTCCACTGTACTGACGCTTATTCAACAGCAAATTGAAGCTCTCGCTTCAGTACGGTATTCTTTGATTATTTATTATCTAGTCTAGCAACTCAACTAAAAATCTTGTCAGCTGTCAGTCAAAAGAGGGGAGGAGGGGCACGCGACAGCGCGGCGAAGTCCGTTCCTCTGCGCCCTAAGACGAGGCCGTGCTCGGACTCTGGTCGTCTGCGCTCTTTCTAGGCTGATTCTTGAGGAGGGGCATCACGCCGCCATGTGGCTGCATTGTAGGGATCTTGGACGAAGAATTAGCGTTCCTAGATGTCTTTCTTTTGTGCTCAACTTCAGTAAGTTCGTTTGAGAAGAAGAACAGAGCGTTACCGTGGCGCTGGTCTCGCCCATTCCTCTCCTACCCCCCTCTAACACCCTCCCAACTTCGCTAGTGCGAAAATTACGGAGCAGCACTGCTTTTTCACATATTTTTTTGCAGTTTTCAATGGAGTAATCCATTTAAGGGCATGCAAGCGAATATCGACCGTGAGTATATGAATGCTCTTGCGGAAGCAGCGGATGAAGGGGCAATTTCCGACGCTGATTTCAAGCGAATGCATGCTGGTAACAACTCTATGGAAGGACTGGATATCTCAGAGCAAAAAGGTTTGTTTTTGGTAACCCGCACATGTTCATTAGAAGTGCAACCAACACCTCTAACCAATACAATTCGTGATTTTTGAACCAGTGCAGTAAAACGAACTTTCCTTCCCCATTTTGATTTCTTGCGGATTTTGTGTATACTCGGTAATTGAACAGGACTTGAATAAAATTACAAAGCGTACAAAATTTTGTACCTTTAATTTTAGAGCTTGATCCCCGCTCAATGGATGCCGTTATTTCTCGAATGCCTCTCAAGGAACGTCTTCTCTATCGAGTTATGCCGGCATCAGCTAAGAAGAGACTTAATGAGATCTCTGACCAGAAATTGAGAAGGAAGAATAAAGGCTTGTCAAACGGACATGTTCCTTCTGGAGGTTTGTCACTTAAAAACATAAAGGGGCATAATAAAAACAAGCATTTTTTTTGTAATCAAGTGTCTGCACTTGATTCTTGAATCCCCGCCGCTTGATCCTTGCTTACCACCAATAAGGAATGTTTCATTGTTCAAGGGACAGCAGTAATATCAGGCATGGGACAGCAGTAATTACTGTAGATTATTATTTGACTGGCAGCCCATAATTAAATGACTGTTAGTACTTATTTGATCTACTAGTGTGACAAAATGTCGCAAAAAGTTTTTTGAAAGGCTCAGGAAATGTTACAGTTGAAGACACAATCCGGAAAAAGGGAACATTCGCACCATTGGAGCGCCCTTCCTTTCAATGTAAATTATTTAGGTGTTAATTATAAGAGCTTACTGACAATAACTAGTCATAAAGTTACAAGATTGTTGAGGAGAGGAGGAGAAGGAGGGGAATCAGCAAAGTTGTTCATTTTCTGTTTCGGAAGTGACTTCAGACAGGAACTAAACACTTTGCTTTGCTCCTTCCGACTATGCTTACTGATGGGCAAAGGATTTCAGAATGATAAGTTATTTTGTGGTAAAAATGATCTTCTTTACGAATCTCTTTTTCCAAGGCGATGTAGAGTAAGAGCATTTCAGTACAGTAGTTTTCTGTCCCCGCCCATACGACCGGCGCGGAAGGTGCCCCAGATGTGTTTTTCGCTCTTGAGAGATAAAATCTAGCTGAATTTGTGAAATACCAGGTCGGATCGCCCGCCTTCGGCGGGCGATCCTCCTTATGCGTGTGAAGTGGGTCCCTGGCCATCCAAACTGAGGCCAGTCGGATCGCCCGCCTTCGGCGGGCGATCCTCCTTATGCGTGTGAAGTGGGTCCCTGGCCATCCAAACTGAGGCCAGTCGGATCGCCCGCCTTCGGCGGGCGATCCTCCTTATGCGTGTGAAGTGGGTCCCTGGCCATCCAAACTGAGGCCCAGTCGGATCGCCCGCCTTCGGCGGGCGATCCTCCTTATGCGTGTGAAGTGGGTCCCTGGCCATCCAAACTGAGGCCCAGTCGGATCGCCCGCCTTCGGCGGGCGATCCTCCTTATGCGTGTGAAGTGGGTCCCCGGCCATCCAAACTGAGGCCCAGTCGGATCGCCCGCCTTCGGCGGGCGATCCTCCTTATGCGTGTGAAGTGGGTCCCTGGCCATCCAAACTGAGGCCCAGTCGGATCGCCCGCCTTCGGCGGGCGATCCTCCTTATGCGTGTGAAGTGGGTCCCTGGCCATCCAAACTGAGGCCCAGTCGGATCGCCCGCCTTCGGCGGGCGATCCTCCTTATGCGTGTGAAGTGGGTCCCTGGCCATCCAAACTGAGGCCCAGTCGGATCGCCCGCCTTCGGCGGGGCGATCTCCTATGCGTGTGAAGTGGGTCCCCTGGCCATCCAAACTGGGCCAGTCGGATCGCCCGCCTTCGGCGGGCGATCCTCCTTATGCGTGTGAAGTGGGTCCCCGGCCATCCAAACTGAGGCCCAGTCGGATCGCCTTCGGCGGGCGATCCTCCTTATGCGTGTGAAGTGGGTCCCCGGCCATCCAAACTGAGGCCCAGTCGGATCGCCCGCCTTCGGCGGGCGATCCTCCTTATGCGTGTGAAGTGGGTCCCCGGCCATCCAAACTGAGGCCCAGTCGGATCGCCCGCCTTCGGCGGGCGATCCTCCTTATGCGTGTGAAGTGGGTCCCCGGCCATCCAAACTGAGGCCCAGTCGGATCGCCCGCCTTCGGCGGGCGATCCTCCTTATGCGTGTGAAGTGGGTCCCCGGCCATCCAAACTGAGGCAGGCGCGCGTCCCAGGTTGATCGCGCCTTCGGCGCGGAGCCGATCTCCTTATGCGTGTGAAGTGGGTCCCTGGCCATCCAAACTGAGGCCCAGTCGGATCGCCCCCTTCGGCGGGCGATCCTCCTTATGCGTGTGAAGTGGGTCCCCGGCCATCCAAACTGAGCCCAGTCGGATCGCCCGCCTTCGGCGGGCGATCCTCCTTATGCGTGTGAAGTGGGTCCCCGGCCATCCAAACTGAGGCCCAGTCGGATCGCCCGCCTTCGGCGGGCGATCCTCCTTATGCGTGTGAAGTGGGTCCCCGGCCATCCAAACTGAGGCCCAGTCGGATCGCCCGCCTTCGGCGGGCGATCCTCCTTATGCGTGTGAAGTGGGTCCCGGCCATCCAAACTGAGGCCCAGTCGGATCGCCCGCCTTCGGCGGGCGATCCTCCTTATGCGTGTGAAGTGGGTCCCTGGCCATCCAAACTGAGGCCCAGTCGGATCGCCCGCCTTCGGCGGGCGATCCTCCTTATGCGTGTGAAGTGGGTCCCTGGCCATCCAAACTGAGGCCCAGTCGGATCGCCCGCCTTCGGCGGGCGATCCTCCTTATGCGTGTGAAGTGGGTCCCCGGCCATCCAAACTGAGGCCAGTCGGATCGCCCGCCTTCGGCGGGCGATCCTCCTTATGCGTGTGAAGTGGGTCCCTGGCCATCCAAACTGAGGCCCAGTCGGATCGCCCGCCTTCGGCGGGCGATCCTCCTTATGCGTGTGAAGTGGGTCCCCGGCCATCCAAACTGAGGCCCAGTCGGATCGCCCGCCTTCGGCGGGCGATCCTCCTTATGCGTGTGAAGTGGGTCCCCGGCCATCCAAACTGAGGGCCAGTCGGATCGCCCGCCTTCGGCGGGCGATCCTCCTTATGCGTGGGAGCGGGGTGGTGGAGGTGGTGAAAGTGGGTCCCTGGCCATCCAAACTGAGGCCAGTCGGATCGCCCGCCTTCGGCGGGCGATCCTCCTTATGCGTGTGAAGTGGGTCCCCGGCCATCCAAACTGAGGCCCAGTCGGATCGCCCGCCTTCGGCGGGCGATCCTCCTTATGCGTGTGAAGTGGGTCCCTGGCCATCCAAACTGAGGCCCAGTCGGATCGCCCGCCTTCGGCGGGCGATCCTCCTTATGCGTGTGAAGTGGGTCCCTGGCCATCCAAACTGAGGCCCAGTCGGATCGCCCGCCTTCGGCGGGCGATCCTCCTTATGCGTGTGAAGTGGGTCCCCGGCCATCCAAACTGAGGCCCAGTCGGATCGCCCGCCTTCGGCGGGCGATCCTCCTTATGCGTGTGAAGTGGGTCCCTGGCCATCCAAACTGAGGCCCAGTCGGATCGCCCGCCTTCGGCGGGCGATCCTCCTTATGCGTGTGAAGTGGGTCCCCGGCCATCCAAACTGAGGCCCAGTCGGATCGCCCGCCTTCGGCGCGATCCTCCTTATGCGTGTGAAGTGGGTCCCCGGCCATCCAAACTGAGGGCCAGTCGGATCGCCCGCCTTCGGCGGGCGATCCTCCTTATGCGTGTGAAGTGGGTCCCCGGCCATCCAAACTGAGGCCCAGTCGGATCGCCCGCCTTCGGCGGGCGATCCTCCTTATGCGTGTGAAGTGGGTCCCTGGCCATCCAAACTGAGGCCCAGTCGGATCGCCCGCCTTCGGCGGGCGATCCTCCTTATGCGTGTGAAGTGGGTCCCCGGCCATCCAAACTGAGGCCAGTCGGATCGCCCGCCTTCGGCGGGCGATCCTCCTTATGCGTGTGAAGTGGGTCCCTGGCCATCCAAACTGAGGCCCAGTCGGATCGCCCGCCTTCGGCGGGCGATCCTCCTTATGCGTGTGAAGTGGGTCCCTGGCCATCCAAACTGAGGCCAGTCGGATCGCCCGCCTTCGGCGGGCGATCCTCCTTATGCGTGTGAAGTGGGTCCCCGGCCATCCAAACTGAGGCCCAGTCGGATCGCCCGCCTTCGGCGGGCGATCCTCCTTATGCGTGTGAAGTGGGTCCCCGGCCATCCAAACTGAGGCCAGTCGGATCGCCCGCCTTCGGCGGGCGATCCTCCTTATGCGTGTGAAGTGGGTCCCCGGCCATCCAAACTGAGGCCCAGTCGGATCGCCCGCCTTCGGCGGGCGATCCTCCTTATGCGTGTGAAGTGGGTCCCCGGCCATCCAAACTGAGGCCCAGTCGGATCGCCCGCCTTCGGCGGGCGATCCTCCTTATGCGTGTGAAGTGGGTCCCCGGCCATCCAAACTGAGGCCCAGTCGGATCGCCCGCCTTCGGCGGGCGATCCTCCTTATGCGTGTGAAGTGGGTCCCCGGCCATCCAAACTGAGGCCCAGTCGGATCGCCCGCCTTCGGCGGGCGATCCTCCTTATGCGTGTGAAGTGGGTCCCCGGCCATCCAAACTGAGGGCCAGTCGGATCGCCCGCCTTCGGCGGGCGATCCTCCTTATGCGTGTGAAGTGGGTCCCCGGCCATCCAAACTGAGGCCCAGTCGGATCGCCCGCCTTCGGCGGGCGATCCTCCTTATGCGTGTGAAGTGGGTCCCCGGCCATCCAAACTGAGGCCCAGTCGGATCGCCCGCCTTCGGCGGGCGATCCTCCTTATGCGTGTGAAGTGGGTCCCCGGCCATCCAAACTGAGGCCCAGTCGGATCGCCCGCCTTCGGCGGGCGATCCTCCTTATGCGTGTGAAGTGGGTCCCTGGCCATCCAAACTGAGGCCCAGTCGGATCGCCCGCCTTCGGCGGGCGATCCTCCTTATGCGTGTGAAGTGGGTCCCCGGCCATCCAAACTGAGGCCCAGTCGGATCGCCCGCCTTCGGCGGGCGATCCTCCTTATGCGTGTGAAGTGGGTCCCCGGCCATCCAAACTGAGGGCCAGTCGGATCGCCCGCCTTCGGCGGGCGATCCTCCTTATGCGTGTGAAGTGGGTCCCCGGCCATCCAAACTGAGGCCCAGTCGGATCGCCCGCCTTCGGCGGGCGATCCTCCTTATGCGTGTGAAGTGGGTCCCCGGCCATCCAAACTGAGGCCAGTCGGATCGCCCGCCTTCGGCGGGCGATCCTCCTTATGCGTGTGAAGTGGGTCCCTGGCCATCCAAACTGAGGCCCAGTCGGATCGCCCGCCTTCGGCGGGCGGCATCCTCCCTTATGCGTGTGAAGTGGGTCCCCGGCCATCCAAACTGAGGCCCAGTCGGATCGCCCGCCTTCGGCGGGCGATCCTCCTTATGCGTGTGAAGTGGGTCCCTGGCCATCCAAACTGAGGCCCAGTCGGATCGCCCGCCTTCGGCGGGCGATCCTCCTTATGCGTGTGAAGTGGGTCCCCGGCCATCCAAACTGAGGCCCAGTCGGATCGCCCGCCTTCGGCGGGCGATCCTCCTTATGCGTGTGAAGTGGGTCCCCGGCCATCCAAACTGAGGCCCAGTCGGATCGCCCGCCTTCGGCGGGCGATCCTCCTTATGCGTGTGAAGTGGGTCCCCGGCCATCCAAACTGAGGGCCAGTCGGATCGCCCGCCTTCGGCGGGCGATCCTCCTTATGCGTGTGAAGTGGGTCCCTCCCCGGCCATCCAAACTGAGGCCCAGTCGGATCGCCCGCCTTCGGCGGGCGATCCTCCTTATGCGTGTGAAGTGGGTCCCCGGCCATCCAAACTGAGGCCCAGTCGGATCGCCCGCCTTCGGCGGGCGATCCTCCTTATGCGTGTGAAGTGGGTCCCCGGCCATCCAAACTGAGGCCCAGTCGGATCGCCCGCCTTCGGCGGGCGATCCTCCTTATGCGTGTGAAGTGGGTCCCTGGCCATCCAAACTGAGGCCCAGTCGGCATCGCCGCCTTCGGGCGGCGCATTCCTCCTTATGCGTGTGAAGTGGGTCCCTGGCCATCCAAACTGAGGCCCAGTCGGATCGCCCGCCTTCGGCGGGCGATCCTCCTTATGCGTGTGAAGTGGGTCCCTGGCCATCCAAACTGAGGGCCAGTCGGATCGCCCGCCTTCGGCGGGCGATCCTCCTTATGCGTGTGAAGTGGGTCCCCGGCCATCCAAACTGAGGCCCAGTCGGATCGCCCGCCTTCGGCGGGCGATCCTCCTTATGCGTGTGAAGTGGGTCCCCGGCCATCCAAACTGAGGCCCAGTCGGATCGCCCGCCTTCGGCGGGCGATCCTCCTTATGCGTATCGCCGTACATGCGCAGGCGTGTGAAGTGGGTCCCCGGCCATCCAAACTGAGGCCCAGTCGGATCGCCCGCCTTCGGCGGCGATCCTCCTTATGCGTGTGAAGTGGGTCCCCGGCCATCCAAACTGAGGCCCAGTCGGATCGCCCGCTTCGGCGCGGGCGATCCTCCTTATGCGTGTGAAGTGGGTCCCTGGCCATCCAAACTGAGGCCCAGTCGGATCGCCCGCCTTCGGCGGGCGATCCTCCTTATGCGTGTGAAGTGGGTCCCTGGCCATCCAAACTGAGGCCCAGTCGGATCGCCCGCCTTCGGCGGGCGATCCTCCTTATGCGTGTGAAGTGGGTCCCCGGCCATCCAAACTGAGGCCCAGTCGGATCGCCCGCCTTCGGCGGGCGATCCTCCTTATGCGTGTGAAGTGGGTCCCTGGCCATCCAAACTGAGGCCCAGTCGGATCGCCCGCCTTCGGCGGGCGATCCTCCTTATGCGTGTGAAGTGGGTCCCTGGCCATCCAAACTGAGGCCCAGTCGGATCGCCCGCCTTCGGCGGGCGATCCTCCTTATGCGTGTGAAGTGGGTCCCTGGCCATCCAAACTGAGGCCCAGTCGGATCGCCCGCCTTCGGCGGGCGATCCTCCTTATGCGTGTGAAGTGGGTCCCCGGCCATCCAAACTGAGGCCCAGTCGGATCGCCCGCCTTCGGCGGGCGATCCTCCTTATGCGTGTGAAGTGGGTCCCCGGCCATCCAAACTGAGGGCCAGTCGGATCGCCCGCCTTCGGCGGGCGATCCTCCTTATGCGTGTGAAGTGGGTCCCCGGCCATCCAAACTGAGGGCCAGTCGGATCGCCCGCCTTCGCTACAGAAAAATTTTTTTTGCAATTCCAGAACATTACCGTTTCACATTTGGTATATACCCCCCCTAGCGGACGGTTGTGAAGTGGAAGTATATGTGCTACTAAGTTATGAATTTTCGATTTAGGACCTCATATTCACTGCTACTCTCATACTCTCACTTGCCTTGCGACTATATTATGAACTTGTGCAGCAGGCGTCACCGACTCGGCGCACATCTCATTCGCTGCCCGTCCCTCGCCCCCCCCCCCCCCATAGAATGCAGCCCACTCGAATTTTCTGTAACAAAATGCGAGTCGATCACAGAGATTGTTCATCCAAACACTGCTCGCAAAAATGCTTTAGGTTCTAGCGTAGCAACTGCTCATTTGCCCAATGTTCACAGTGTCAGCATCTGCATTGTATACAATGTCGTGAATCGTATGATAAAACAGCCATGTTGTTACCAAGAATACTGATGGAAAAAATGATTTTTCCTTCACACGCCCATTCCAAGTATGCCTTCCGTTCAAACTCGACCGACCTCTTACTCCACGTTTTCCCGCTGCTCAGGTAGTTCCGGGTTCGAACTTCGAAATTTTTACTTGGTCCGCCATAGAGAATGATTTTGTCCCCAGTCCCTGTGATCTTCCGGAGGAATTTTACGAATTTTTGTCGTTGGCACTACTCACTCCCGTGCACGCCCCGTCTATTGTGTGCGAGGCTTAGCTCAGTTTGTGTATTCGGTAAAATTTCATCATGCCCTCACCCCCATCCCAATGTTGACGGCGTTTAAGAGTTGTTGACGTTTTCAAGAGACACCGCTCAGCCAAATATAGGCCCCGCCCATTGTGGGCGGAGCCTCTTCTCCTATTGGTGCCACAGACACAGCAGACAACTTTCCAACTTTATATATAGAGTATGATAGCCTGTTATAAACCCGTGCTCCCGTTGTTCATGCAGCGCGTCTATGCAACTAGCTACAGTTTCCCAATGGGTGCAGAAGTTCTCAAATTAGTATAATAGCATATAGCAATAAAAAATCAAGTGAGTCGCGGCCTATATAATGTCAAGTCATATAAATAATTGGCTCCACTGGTGAAGAGCCATAATAGGGTTGCCGTGGTCAACTAAACTTTCTGTCGCTCATGACAACCAGATGAGGTCTACGGAATAAGGACTGGCCCAAAGTTGTGTAGCTAGCAGGTAGCCCCCAACCTTGGAAACCTACTCGTACAGCTCACTGCATAGGAGAGCCAGTAGCCGTTCCGTGGGTCGTACATCGAAGCTGTTCACTTCTTGCAATTAGGTGCGATTAGCGTGTAATCAGCTCCGAACTGCAGATAATGCCCAGAGGGGTCCAGGCCAGAACTGCCCATTTGTCATGGCACACAGAAAGGTACAGCTACCTGAGTTGACATATCGTAGTTCCCGTCACAACTACTTCGCCCCTGGTGTCCTCTTTAGCCCGGAACTTTCCCGGAACTCCTGTCCTAGCATCACCAAGTGGCGATCGATCTTAGGCGTTTCAACAACTTATGCTTTCTTTTATTTCAGGCACTTCTCCATGAAGAAATTCTGAAAATGGAATTGAACAACGAACTTCCAACTCGTCAAGTGTCCGTGTCACCAAGTCGTGTGGTTGGCACCGGTGTACGTGTCACTCACATTCATCCTGTGACGGTCGAAGATAACACCCCACAACCAACCGTTAAAACGACGGCGATTAGAGAAGATGAGGTCTAATTGAGGTAAGAGGTAACCAGAATGTTTGATAATACAACGGATGTGTCGGAGAAATTACTAAACTATTTCAGTGTAATTAGCCAGGCCACCGTACATCCAGATAGTCGTGGGGCGTTGTCCCCGCGCTAAAGTGGATTTTCGGCGCTTAACGTCGTCAGTTCGGCTACCGCCACTATAATTTTGCATGTACACCTTTCGCTACGTCTCTCTTCACTGATTGCTCTGCTTTTTCTGTGCCTTTCACTACTTGTTCGTTTCAAAAGATAATTAGCCGCTCCGCCTCTTGAAGTTTCAGAAACGGAGAATATATTTGTAAGCTTCTCAACAGTCACGAAATATCAGAAAGTCGTCTAGTCCTAGTTGTTTTTGGGAGAAATATTAGCCACTATCCTTTACTACTCGATTTTTTATTGAATTGTCTTACTACTTTGCTTGGTTATCACTATTCTTTCTACTGTGACGTAATCACTGACTCTGGTTTGTTCACTGACTGCCCCATACCGGAACCCAGCGACTCGAGAGCTCTACGAGCCACATATACTGTAATTTTACTTCCGGAAGGGATAACCTGAAGGTCCTTTGAGCCGTTTAAGTTCGTGTCACAATGGCTGGGGAGGGCGTGGCCACAGAGATAGTCCCGTGTGCGACGGCGGCAATCTATAGCACGGAAAAATACCGTTTCAAGCTAAAAAATCAAGCCTCTTGATTTAGCTGCATAGCATTTATTGATCTCCAAGACTATGACTATCAAGTAATTCACAAATACCATTCAATCTGTGTATTTTTCGTATGAAAAGGAGGTTTTGTTACTGAAAAATGAAGGAAGTGAAACAATTTAAAGTACGGAAGTCGGGATCTTCCAAGTAGCGCCATTTTCGTGGTTAGGCTTATAGTTGGCAGTGCGGCGTGTTGCGTACTTTGCGTATGGGTAGAGTCCAAATAGCATGCGGCTATCACCAAACTTCAGTCCGATATCTGCCCGCTCTTGAGTTGCCAAGCCGCACACTTCTACATCTGTGGAACCGTTCGCCTCGCACATTACGCGGACCAGAATGTACAGCGTACTTTCACAGTGTCTGGCCAAATTAGTTGACCACCACCCCGTAACCTTCCTGAACCTGAGACTGCACAGCTTGGGAAACCATTGGTGCAAGTGAGATGACGTCGCATGGACAAAATTATTTTTCCTAATGTGAATAGTTCTATTCTGACGCCACATTTTACAATGATCATATGGGCGGCGTTACACGCACCAGGCCCCAAGTGCTCCGTCCATACGATAAGCTTGGAGTCATCCCACAGTAGCCATTGCCAGCAGTTTACTCCCTCA